ATTCTCCTTCAAACTGCTAGGTGTTTAAATATGCCCCTGTGTGCCATAGATATGCCAACCGTATGTTCACAACCTGTTTATATTGCCCACAGATCATTACTGTGTTGTGCTTTGTCATTTACTTCTGTTGCTAACATTTCAATAAAGCATCACATCAGGTACTAAGACAAACCTGCAGTCTATTTGTAAACTTAACCTGCTGAGAGGAGCAGAAATACTCTCAATAAATCCAATTACTTTTTTACTTCCCCCCCCCCTCTTTTTTCAGGGTGGTGTGTGGTGTGTGTGTGTGTGTGTGGGGGGGGGGGGTCTTCTTATTGAATTTACATCCCTGCCTTCCAGTTACTGTGCAATGATGAGTGTATCCAGCTCACTGTGTTTCTCGTCTCAGCCTTTCTTTATCTGCATCCTAACCATCCACACTATCTTTCCTTCCCTACCTCTATTTCTCTTTTTCCCACACAGCCTAACAAACTAAAGTCAGTTAGGCTGTGTGACATCGTGCAGTGTTCCTTCTCTGTAGTGTTTAAAAATTACTGTGTGTGTGTGTGTGTTTCAGAGAGAGAGACAGAAAGAGGTTTGTCTTACTTTTCACAGCAGTGGGGAGTCATCTGGAAGATAATTATATTGTGGTTTGCAAAGCTGAGCTCATGTTTTATACACAGCATTCTTCATGAGGCTAATAAGCTTCAGTGAAGCTTGTGGTGCAGTACACATTCACACTAAAAGAGCTCAGACCGAGAGAGACGCAATGTGAAAGGCAAGGGAAACCAGAGTGATAATAAGCAGCGGTGCAGCATCTCCTTAGGGCTTTTCTACGCTCTGTGAGACGCTTTCTGTCCCAGATCTGTAAAGGAAGCTAGCAGATGCTTAAAACAGGGCTCTCATAAGTACAAGTTTCTATATGCAAATGCAGACCATCCAGGCATTTAGCAGAGGAATTTAATCACCGCAACACATCCACTGCCTGCACTCAAAACCAAGCTGTGAAATCCCACGTCAACCCCACCACCACCACCTCCTGTTAGCAAACTATGCACTAACTACAAGAATAGAATTATTATATCACTACCACAAGCCACCAATTAAAGTAAAATTCAGCAGCTACAAGATCTATCTTCAGCCTTAGGGAAGCCCTTAGATTAGAAGTCGCTCTCGAAGAAAAGGACGATCCATTGATGGTATAATTGGGTCTCCGCACTGCATTCAGTCGATGTGAACTTTGACCCAGTGCTCTGTAGAAATCACACCTCACTTCTCTTAACCCCAATCAGTCCCTTGCTTGTACAGAGCTGTGCAAACATTTGGGGCACTTTCCCAGCCAACCGGGAAGGGTCACAAATTACAAATTAATTTGACAGCATTGCAGTGATCCCAGAAATGCAAAGACTATCTTCCCTGACAAGAAGACGGGGAGCCTAACTCTACGCAAGAACTGTAATCTGGCAAGTACCTTGTAAAACTCTGGTTAAGCACATCTTTAAGACAGCACCAGCTGTTTGGGGGTTTTTTTTCAATTTTTTCATCCCTGTATGACTTCTAAATTAGAACTCCTCAAACCATTATTATTGAAATTATCCTCAATTTAGGCAAAAAAAATCACCAATGCTTTTTTAGCCCTATTAACTCTATTGTTATCAACTGTCCCAAAATTAACATCCTTTCACATTTTAAAATGACTCCAGTAAATTTTAAACGTAACCGCATGCTCCGACTGTGCCCCTGTGTGTGCCTTTCATGTATGAATATTTCATCACCTAAGCTCAGCGCATATCTTTTTTTTTTTTGCTGAAAAACAGATTAAAGGTGATATCTGAAAAACCCTAAATGTAATTTATCAACACTAAAGCATTTTAAAGGTTTGACAGGCTCTTCTAACCATCGGAATTAAATAATGAAGCTTTTTATCTCGTGCCCTCCTCCAAATGATGTTAGCCAGGTGATTGCCATTGAGATGAGGTGCTAGAAAGCCCTTCATGTTCTCTGTTACTGAATGGTAATGAATGGCAAAAACGAATGCTAGGTCCAACCACTGGTCTACAATGGCAGCTTCGAAATGCAGCTCATACTCTAAGCTTATGTTTATGCAAGCTCCAACACTGTAACACACCATCACATCATGCCAGGTGAGTCTGCTGCTTTTCACCGTATCACTCTTGGCAGCTGACAGACCTGCTCTTCAATAAACAAGCCAGTCAGTGTCCCCAGAGCTGACTGGGACACTGGTAAATGGCCTTAGATGCATAAGTACTGCTTTATTTTGTTGAACTGACTGGACAGTTAGAAAATGAAGCAAATGGCAAAGAGGGATATAATAAAGGGCTGAATGAAAGCCGAGCTTTTCCACTGCATTTCTGTTCTAGTGCAGGTTGTGCCCTCTTGTCATCACTGACCTTCAGAAGATGACCATTGACTGGCAATCCCTGTGGGTGTGTAAACACCATTTTAAGAGAAACCACACGTTCAGTGTTGGCCCCCAATATTTTTTCTTCTTTCTGCCGTGTCAAACCGTCTCACCGGTCTTTCATTTCCAAAGGCCAGGCTCTCTCACAAAACAAATGTGCCGCAAGTTACACATCAAACGTAAGCGAGCAATGCGAGCATGGTGACAGACATAACCGAAGGACTGTCAGCAATGTGTCGTAGAAGCTAAATCTATTTGGTGAATATTCCGAAGAGCTTCTGATTGGAAAAGGATGATCTCTTTTATATGACAAAAATGTCCTACCACCCCAAATCTCTCATGCTTCTCCTTGCCTTGAATTAAAGACATTTCAATTCTTGTCATTTTCCCTCTTTTCCCCTGATCCTGTGCCCGCTCAGCGCTCTCTGTTTGTCACTGGTCCTGATAATAACACGATGTCAAAAGCAGGGGGTGCAGCCTGTAATAGGGGGTATTAACCCGGAGGGAACGACTATCATCATGGTTTCGAGGTTTCAGAGCGCGCACGGACATAATGACAAAGGGAGAACTGCATAGAAGAGCCAACGGGGAGGCTCATCTCTTCAATAGGAATCTGAGTCACACAACATCTGTACAAAGGATTTAGAGGATTTGTGAGGCCTTGAACTGTTATTAGAAGTATTTGACTGTGACAGAGAGATTTAACTGGTGATTTCCTCTGCTTCAATTGCGGCTGATAGAGTAGCCTGTTGTTAGCTATTACAGAGAGCAGGGATTGTAGTCTACAAAGCAAAATCCCTACTATGGGGTTATGTGAGCAACCTTTTGCACTTAGGTGTGTGTAGCTCATTAGCATTTATTCCTATGTGTGGCATGATCACAGTAAGGACAAGCCCTTAAGTAGAGAGCTTGTAGCGCTTGGTTTGAGTGTGTATGAGTATAAACCATTTATGTACAGGTAAAGACCATCTATACATCTTCCTGCCTTTAATAAAAGTCTAAATTACCAAGACATCAAACATAAGATGAACTCTTAGCTTTTCGAACTCTCGATCTGTCTCACAGACACAAACAAGGTGGCAGTGAAGCAGGAGGGAGATGCATCGACCTTCTCCTTTCAATTAATGATTTCCTCTCAACAAACTCCTCTTCTTTCTGCCAGGAGGGTTGTGCACCACTGCTTTGGTTTTCTCCCTCTTTTTTATTTTAATCACACATCAGCACAAATGTACACACATGCAGAGGAACCATTTGCATATATGCTGGGGCTTGTCAGAATGGGACTCATTATTTACCTGAATGGTGCTTAATTGCGTATCAGCAATGATATAATTCCATTCGCCTCATCATTACAGGCTGAGAAACATCAAAATCCAAGAGCGTGCAGGTCTTTCATTGGTAGGCAACCAGTTTGCTACCCATTCGTCATCTAAGCTGATTCCCCACCATCGCCCAGCAGCACAACGGCTGTTCATTCAGTAAATTCCAAGCAGGGCTATGTTTTGGGTTTTTTGTTTTTTTTACTCTGAGACGAATAATGTGGCAGCGAGCTTCTCTGAACGCCAGAAAGCGCATCAATAATGCACACGCAGCTTGTTATAGCTCAAACTCACTCTGCTTCAGTGGCTCACCAACCCAAAATCCAGCATCAAAGACCAGAAACATTCATGTGCGGTTCAGTGTGTATGTGCATGTGTGTGTGTGCGAAGATGCTCACACATGCCAGCACTGGAGTGTCTGAGAGGTGAAAGACGTTGAAAGCCTTGACTTTAAAACCTTCTTCTAATGGGAAGAGGAGTGACTGTCTATTCTCACTGAACGAGCACTGTAGGGAGATTCATTTGGTGAGGGTGGATTTCTCTTCCCGAGAGGCTTTCTGAATCCTTTTGTACTGAAAAATAATAAAAATGGGAGTAAGCTTGAGGCCAAGGACACGGGCGCTGTGTGAACGTGATGCAAACCTTTGAATCTTTAACATCCACTACTTTTTAAAGAGTGTAGGGGAGGTAAGAATGAGGCTTTTAGTGTTCTGAAAGCAGCCAGCGGTTACAATGGGCACAGCATGAAAGAGGCTTCTGGCTGAAAAGATGTCACATTAAAGGATCTGTCTAATATATAATTATTACCATGTTTGGTGATGTATTATGTCACATGGAATTATTTTGTCCTCAAACAGTGTTTCAACAGAAAGAGCTGGCAGCATAAAAGATTTCCTCCCAGATTTAACCTTGAATATGTATACACAGGGAAACGAAATAATGTGATGTTGTGCACATTTTCAGACACTTTTTTTGATGGCAAATTGGAAATACTTGAAAAGTTCAAGGGAAATTGGAACTTTTTCTCAGATAAATGCACACACGTACACTGAGAGTTTAAGTAGAAAAAAATGATACAAACAACTTTCCTTGTAAACCAAACCACGGAAACTAACGGTCTGCACAGCAAAATCTGCAGCTACACGTATAGGATGAGTTGGGTGGGGCGCTTTTCACAACTTTTCTAGCACAGCTCTAACATGCAGTCCGAACACCGAACTTTCCTGACCGCCGGTGGTCCGCTGCGCTCTCCGCTCTCTGCGGACGCGTCGACTCACCTACAGGAGACGGTGATCTCTACTTTGGTGGCCGGAATGTTGCCGGTGATCGGGTCGAAGTCGTACACCGATGACGTGTCTTCCAGCTTGTCCATAACGTCTCCTTCCATCATGTCCATCGCCAGAGCTCGCGGTGGCTCGGGTGTGATCCGAGAGGCGCACAGCCTGGCGCCGGCGGTGCGCAGCGAGTCTCCGGTGACTCCTGATAACAGATCAGAGACCAGACGGCCTCCGGTCCGACCGGGTGAGGCAGCCACTTCACAAATGTTGAAGCTGAAGAGGATGGAGAGGAGAGTACCCAGTGAGGGAACACCCAGGGGGAAAAAAGAAAAAGGAAAAGGGCGCACTTGGTTAACTCTGCGCAGCGTAAATACTTATTTTTTTTCTTGATTTCTGAGATTACTGTTGCGCTTTCACCGACCTGCTGGACGTCACATGGAGAGGTGGACCGCGCTCTGCTTTTGTCTTCACCGTGTGCGCACAGCGGAGCGTGTGAAGAGGAATGACTACATACACTTAAACCCACCCATCCTCCTCCCACACGGAATTACAATCAAGTGCTGGCAACCCTGTACACTGGCGCTGCTGTTGTCACCCTGCAACATCCTGTGTAGCCTCCTCTTCAGCGTGCACTCCAGTGTCAGTCATAGCAGATGACTAATTGATGTTATTTCGTATTTTTGGACTTTTTCTAAGGCGTGGCATCAAAAAGCTACTTGTCCTGAAGGATGCTTGTGAGACTGAATGCAAATTGGAAGCAGTCCTGCTGGTCGGGACAACCCATGTTTAGACGGCTGAAGAGCAAAGCTGGAGCACAATATTTAGTCATCTATTTTTTATTTTTTATATTGGAACATTTTATATATTGGACTTTTGAGAAGGCATAACAGAATGCGAAACAGTAAAGAAATTCAACACCACAGTGAACCATTGAGATTTTTTTTTTAAGAAAGAAAAACAGCAGGATCAGCTTTAAGTGCTTACACAGTCAAAAGTGCAAGTGTTTCCCATCTTTCTTTGATGGAAGGCTTGTGCACAACACTTTCAGACAGTCAGAACTGCCAATTAAAAAGTGTTCATGCTGGCTGATTTAAAATCAATGATGATTAGAGTGAGGGAGTTACATAAAGATTTAATGGCCATCATCCATCCCCCCATTAGCCTGTTGTTGTGCAGCTAAAAACACACACACATTGTAATGAATATGCTAAACTGATGCCACTGCCTGTCAAGATAGTGATGGGTTTGTCATTTTTGGATAAGTATGGTTCCTAAATACAAGCAACATGTGCGCTGCTCTCTCTCCATCACCTCACTGTTTATCTCACTTGTTCTGACACTCCACATATTTGTCCATCCTCTTCTCACAAATTTGAGAGAGGGAGGAGAAAGTGTTACACATGTATGTGAAATGCATGTACACTTGTGGCTGTGAATAAACAAACATTATTATCAGGAAAGGAGCCCCTTTTCACCTACTTGGAAAAGTGTAGTTGTTACTTTTGTGGTCAATATGGAAACAGAGACATCAGATTTTTCTGTGTCATTGCACCTTTTCTGTCTATTTCTCTGTCTCTCCTTTCCCTATTGCTATCTCTCGCACACACATCACAGAGACACATGCAGCCATAAACCATTATACCACCTTTCATAAATGGGTGCAGAAGCACACAGCTCTTTCCTGCATAGTGCACCTAGCGTCTGGATTCTGGAAATCAATTTACACCGGCACAGGATGCTTCTGCCCACACAGCTCTCCAACTCAGGATCAGGAACACACACACACACACACACACACACACACACACGCACACACACACACACACACACACACACAATCATGCAGTTGTTCTTTTACACGTGCTCACCAACGCGTACACCAGTGTGCACGTATAAAAACAAATTATTTTCTCATATGTCACCCATAAGCAGAGATAAAGAGGCACACACATCTACATACCCACCCTTTTCTCTCCAGGATGATTCATGTATTTTAAGGGTTTGCTGTTTAGAGTGGGTGAGCATGCTATTGCAGATGTTCCACAGAGTGGGTTGGCAGGATCAGGGCCAGAGGACAAAAACAAACAAAAAAAAGAAGATGCAGGAAGGGGTGGAAGAAGACCTTCACAATATCTATTTTGCCTTGAGTAGTAACCTGTGGATGGCAGACTTTTCAGAAATACGACATATTTTGCATATGTATATTCTTAAAAACTGGGAATCCACATATCAAAACGAAATCTATTTTCACCCCTTCATGTGCTGTGATCTGAAAACACAGGGTGTTCTGTGGGGGAGGGGGTGTTGAAACCGAGCAATGTTTTGCCTCCTGGTTACTGACAAAAAAGAAAGAAAACACATCACTGTATGAGTTAAATAGAAAAATACCTCTGTGTTTGTTGCATCTGGTCAGTGATAGTCATCAATCACAGACAGAAAATAGATAGATGGAAAAAAATAACAGTTATTCTCATTTGAAAATTAGCAGATTTAATAAAAAAAACATATATATTTTATGAATTTCTGATCATATATCATACCATCAAACTTATTTTTTCAAATAAATTCTTCATTGGGCCATATAAAAGCAATATCTGATTATCTGTGCTACATTAGTTCTTAATATTGTGGGGTCAACTTGAGTGATCAAAACCCTCTAAAATACTGCACATCTTCTTTAAATGCTATTCCCATCCATCTGCCACGGACTCGGAGGTGGTCAATGCTTTGTACTGCCAGTGACATTAATAACACCATAGGAGATTCAAATGCCCCTTTTCCTCCTTCTTCGTCCTATTTTCTCAGCTTCCTGCAGTTTTCTAAGCACTAATTACTGTGTTTATTCTTACTTGCGTCATGCTGTCCAAAAAGATCGCCTTTCTGGAAGCAATTATGCAAAAGCAAACAAATGCCCTGTCAAGAAAATGAAGCTTTTTTTTTTTACCCACCTGAAGTAGGGACACATTTGTTTACTCGTTTAATCTATTTTTCCTGTGGTTTTAACATTTCTTTTTTTTTTTTTAAGAAACAAAGAATATTTTACAAAGTAATACATTGTGGATGCCCCATTAAGCGGTGGGGGTAGGGGTGGAGGTACAGGTAGTATTTTCAGCCTGCTTGTGACGGCGCTAAAATAATGTTTTCTCCTCTAAAATGAAAAGTGTGTATGATTTCATGCTCAAGCACTATTAAATATAAAAACACACAACATCTGAAATTATAATATTAAAGAAGCTCTGGGACCTGTAAGATTTTGTGCTTATACCTCCCAGTTAACAAATATTTTTCAATTCGTTTTAATTATTGAGCCCAAAGAAAGTGTTGTTTTTTTTTTATTACTCAGTAAGCTTTAATTTCATTTTAGTACAAAGTAGTGTTAAGTAACATCTTTAACAAAAGGGTTCAAATGTTTAATCAAACTTTTAAAGGTTATATTCTGATTTATATGACTGTGCTTCAATAACACTCAAATTAAATGCTTTGAGTAGGGTTTTTAAATGTCTTTCTCTGAAATGTAGTCATTGTAAATGAAGCAAAGTTTTCAGAATCAAGTGTAAATTTAACATGGGATTATACCTTTTATATGAAGCATTTAGTGTCATTTACTTGATATAGACCCTTAATACATTCATCCATCCATCCATCCATCCATCCATCCATTTTCATCTGCTAATCTTTACAAGGTCATGGGGGGTGGAGCCTATCCTGACTACCACAGGGCGATAATTTGGACCTTTAGAATTAAAGTGGTACCAAAAAGTAAATCACAATTATCACCACATAGCTGAGAGACTGCAAAATCAAATTATGAGTTCTGTGCTCAAAACAGCATTTGGAACAGTCGTTCTAATTTAGCACAACTCAGATTTATTTATTTATTTTTACTATTACGATAACAATTATTTGTTGCAGCTTAAATCAATACTGTGGTTTTGACTTATGACCTCTGATTATGATTCAATTGGATTTAAAATGGGTGCTGAGGCTTTGTGCGCCTCTCTGCAAGACACAAGTCTACTCAGTTGTACCTTGTAGATAAGTAGGGGGTTTGATAAACCCAGTTCAAAAGGACCACATGTTCCCTCCCAGAGTGTAATCCTGCTCTGTGGCCCAGTGGTTTAATCCAAAATCAAATCCCTCCTGAGGTGCCAAGCAGCATAAAGAAGGCTTTTATGAATCATTGCTCCAAGACTGACAAACTGAGGGAAACACACATATACAGTATTTGTGGGAAGCCACTATGGCAGCCTATAGGTGGCTGATGGGCTGGCTAACAGCCCGTGCGCTCCTGCCTGCAGTACTTGTAAGTCAATGAACTCCATGCTGTGCCAGAGCCACTGGCAAAATAATAATAACCTGATTTTTCCAGGTCTACAGTAGACGCACAAGCTCTTAGAGTTAATTATGAAATCCTTGATAGAAGACTTGCAGCTACTTACCCAAAAGTTTTAATGATGCAGTAGTTTTCCTGCTGTGGGGAAAGTTCATCACTGAGTTCTCATGGGAAGGTGCCTGGATGCT